ATGCAATTTTTGATTAACCATAAAAAAACGGGTTTCCAGTATTAACCATAAGTTTCATACTTGGATCCATTGGGGTCTTCAACTCACGACAATTCCTACTATGAAATTTTTGCAAGTACCTTCTCAATGCAGAAAAATTGAGAGAATATTCTTCTTTATCGTTCCGCTTGATCCCCCATGTCCTACATAGCGAATTTAAATAACAACTTTTTATCAAAATTCACTTATCTTTTATTGGTCCCAAAGATAAGCATGGCATATACATACAAATGTATGATGACTCCATTACCAGAATCATCATCAATTGGGTATACATTTTGTCTCTTTGGTTTAAAATAAGGGTTAATATTTTTGTATGACCTGAACTTTGACCAAAATAAACATCCTGGCCAATCTTTTCGATCTATAACATCCTGGCCCGAACTATACATCAAAATAAACAATTTGGCCAGATCCGACTTTTGACCGTTAACTTGGATGGTCAACGCGTCATGTCACTGCCAACTAAGCAAATTTCAATTTTTTTTAATTTACACCTATTTCCATTTTCTTTCCTTTATCATTTTGAACGGAAAAAAACACATTTTCAATTTCGGATATATCCCCCAACAGATCTCCTGCCGAAACAAGCAATCCCCGGAAACCGAACCCGAACCCGAAGATCCCTCCCCCGCCGGCAGGGTTTCCGCCGCCGCAAAAGCAAGAGCATACCAACTCTCCGACATCAACGCCGCCACTGACGGATTCAACCCACTCCGAATCATCGGCCAGGGAAGCTTCGGGACCGTCTACACCGCCGTCTTCCCTGGCGACGATGATCACCTCTTCGCTGTCAAGAGAATTCACCCGTCCCTCGTCCTACTCAACGTTGGCCTCGAATTCTCCTTTGTAATCAAAACCCTGTCTTCCGCCCACCACCCCAACATCGCCCTGTCCGCCGGCGCAGCCAGGGGAATTGAGTACTTACACAATCAGATGGCGCCGGGAACGATCCATGCCTGCGTGAAGCCGTCGAAGGTGTTGATTGATTCGAAATCCAGGGCCAAAGTGTGCGATTACGAGATTTGTTTCAATGGGACGAGAGGGATTGTGGGTTATGTCGATGCAGAGTAATGGAACAGGGGAGCTTCGAAGGAGAGCGACGTTTATGGGTTTGGGGTGGTTTTGTTGGAGCTTCTGACGAGGAGGAAGGAGGAGGAAGGGTTGCTGGTGAAATGGGTGGTGCCGTTCTTGAAGGATGAGGTTAGGGCAGGGGGTCTGTTGGGGGATATATCCGAAATTCAAAATTTGTTTTATTTTTTTTTTCCGTTAAAATGATAAAGGAAAGAAAATGGAAATAGGTGTAAATTAAAAAAAATTAATTAAAATTTGCTGAGTTGGCAGTGACATGGCGCGTTGACCGTTAGTCAACGCGTTTGACCGTCCAAGTTAACGATCAAAAGTCGGATCTGGTCAAATTGTTTATTTTGATGTATAGTTCGGGCCAGGATGTTATAGATCAAAAAGATTGGCCAGAATATTTATTTTGGTCAAAATTCAGGCCATACAAAAATATTAACCCTTAAAATAACATAAACCACGAGACAAAATCACACCATCAAACCACTAAACAAATCTAAATTTGTCTAGAACTTCATAAATGTGGAATAGAGAATTACACAAATTAACCCTTGAGTATGTGGCCTACACAAAGAAAATTATCAATCTTTATTTCTACATTTTACGAAGTATTCTCTTTCTTCCTCATCCTTGAATCATCCCTCTTCCAAATTACCTTCCGGATATGGAATACACCATGAGACTAGTACGAAGAAAATCCATCTTCTACTACCATCTATGAAAACTCATCATCAAACATTCTCATGATTCCATAGACCGGAACCGGTTTCTGGTAAAGAGCGATTTGAGCCATCGTACCGGAAAGTATTCTTTTCAATTGTTGGGACTTTTGGGACGAGAGTGTACGTACGATAGCCAGAGACCGGGTGACCAGGATTGTGATAGAGTCGTGAATAACGTTCACTCTCCGAAAAGAATATTTCCACCCTCCAAAAAGGCATTGGGTTACCGAAAATTTCACTCGAGGATAAAACTACCACCACTTTAGGTTCTAGGCTCAAGAACACTAAAGCATAATCAGAAATTTTTGGAAGAAAGAAGAAGAATATGTTTGATGGTATGTGGCATCATCCACCCCACACATATATTTATAGGAGCCGAATTCATGCATTGTTTTCAAGAAAGGGTGCCTTTATCCATACGCAAGGTTGTCTTTATCCATACAAAATGTTGTCTTTATCCATATGAAAAGTTGCCTTTATTTATAAGTTTCATCCTTATCCATATGGAGAGTGCTTGGTGGGGTTCATGTTGGCGGTGGTGGTCGGCGCTAATTCGACGAATTTGTTGATGTTACTATTCTTCTTCTTATTGTTGCAGCTGTCAGAGGAAGCTTTGGGACGACGGAGAGAGGAGTGGGGTTTTTTTCACGGCGGCTAGTTGCTTCGATATCCTCTCCTTCTATTTCTATTGTGTAGATTCCCCACTATACCTTTCTCAACCGCCAACCCTAAGACACCATTTTCTCAGTCAATTGCTTGTAGTGGTATGTAGCAGGTGGAGGCGGTGGTATGCAGGAGGTGAAGAAGCCAGAGACAAAGTGAAGCTCTGCTAATAGATCTATCCAAAGGATCGCAGAGTCCGGTCAGCTTTCTCTCCCGTTTCGGAGACCAAATTAGACTAGGGTTGTTTTGAGAATTCAATTGGACGCTGCAACGCTGTTGTTCGCCGGACGCAGTAGCCGCCTGTGCTGTTCGATAGACTTAAAAGGAGGAAGTGGAAGAGACAGAGTGGAGGTCGAGGGGTTTCGCCGGAAACCAGTGACAGTAAGAGGGCCGGCAGCGATGGGCTTGAGTGGATTTCCTTCAAGACCAACGACAAGGCCAAGATCAACCAGATTGCGGGCCGAGAGTCAGCGATCAGGGCGATTCCCCGGGACGTGATCGTCAACGCCTTCGCGATTTCCAGGGAGGAGGCGCAGAGGATCAAGTTCAACAGGCAGGAGATTGGGATCTTCAGCCCTGGGACTAGGTCGCGTGGAAGGAGGGACTGATTTTGTGGTCATTGTGAGAGATGAAATCTGTGTGATGACGGCCGGATGATGACGATTTCTGTGACCGGATGATGACGGCCGGAGTGGAGACGAAGGATAGAGACAGAGAGGAGAAAGGTGAGAAGACATACGATTACCTGGGGTAACTGAACGGACGGTTCCGATGAGATCTGCTGCAAGTAATTGGTAACTGTGTTTTTAATTAATTACAATTTCACGCCTTTTGGAATGGCGTAACTGTTCCAGGTAAGTAACTCAAACAGACTCCTCAATTTCCTTTTTTTACTTTATTGTAATTTAGTCATTTTTTATTTCCTTTATCTTTTTAATTAACCGCTATCATTTTCCTTCATTATTTTTATTAGTAGTTGGGTTTCTTTCTGTTTTGTTCTCCGTTGTCTCAATAGGGCTGCCCATCATGTGGAATAAAAGGCCCTCTCATCGGGAGTTCGACTATTGGTTGACTCCCACACTCTTTTTATTTTCTCTGTATGTCTGATTTTATAACAACTGACTTTGCGAGGAAAAAAATAGATCTAGCCAAAGAGATGATAGGGGAAGAAAGGAAAAATGAAGGGGAGAGAAGAGAATGATATATTTTCCTCAATTGGAATTTTTTTAATTTTACTCAAATATGACATGTCAATTATACGATGATTTGGCGTTGATGTGGCGTCCACGTGGTATGGCAGGTCTAGGTGGGTCTCATGTGTCGTCTAGGTGGCATCCACATCAGGCAAAAAAGTCCACGTAACTGACGGGGTCGTTTAACACCGTTAAAATATTAGACGGAAATGGCTAAATATATCAATAAAATTTAAATTGTGACTATATCTGTGTATTTTTCAAATTTTAGTTATTATTGTCACAAAGTGGATAGTTATGGCTATGTAGATGTATTTTGCCTAGGGTTTTTTATAGCGAACCATGATAAACTGTATATTCCATAATGATTTCTTAATTACGTATGTGGCTTATGTTGCAAATCAAACCTCCCGACGCTCAACAGACAGAAAATGAGAGAAAGAAATGTAAATTTAAAAGGCCTAAGGGGATGAGCGGTTTGATGTTAGTGGAAATGAATTTTGCATTTTTATTCAACAAAAAATGGGAAGAGATGCGATAAAATGTGTATCTGAATTACCGATCGATTAATAGAGATAAGTCTATTATCGTGTTACATGAATCTGTACAACTCTAGATTTAATGATTAAAATTAAGAAACTAAGAAAAACAAAAGTAATTTTGTATCAATTAAACGTAAATCAATAACTAAACTAGAAATCAAGTGGGAAATTCATTTCTAGAAAAATCTATAGAAAGCAGATATAGAGAAGGACGATATGGAATTCACTATCCAATTACTTGCCTCACCGTGTTTATTAATCAAATTAATTTCCATTCGAAATACTAAGGTTATCTTTAAGATGATATTTATCTCTCTAAATATTAACTACACATTAAGTAGTCAAGTAATTATTTGCTCTAGTACAACCAATAATTAACTACCTAGTCTAGTAAAGCAATAATTAACTACCTAATCTAAGTCCGATAACTCATATGATGACCTATTTTAGTACTTTTATGGCAACAAATTTCTTGTAATATAATGAAGGTGTGTCAGTTATAATTATTGAAGGTGTGTCGAAGTTCCTGTATTGGAATATTTAATACAAAAAAATATGAATCTCTCACAAAAAAATTGACAGAGGTGTGTCGAGTGAGACACCTCTCTATTTTATATATGTTTAAATTCGTTTGATGTTAATTCTTTTTCACATATTTACCACTTTTGTTAAACCGACATGAATCAAAACAAATCAATTGCACCACTGTTCGAATCATACCACTTACTAAACCGATACAACAATATAAATCGATACTACGGTATAAACTGGTTTGACAATGTTGCTCGAAATAGAAAAGAAAGACCAATAGAAAAGGGGTAAAAAGGGAAATTGGAAATGGAATATCCCGCTTGCTTTCCGAACGTTGCAAGGGAGCCCTTCTTACGTTTTAAATTCCCGCACCCCGTCTTCTTCTTTTCCCCCTTCCTTCCACAGAGAAATAGCCGTTGCTCTCATCTTCAACTCCTCCAACGGCCGCCGGCTCTGACTACTTCCGTCCACTCTTCCCCGTCACCGGTAAAAAAAAAAACTTCCTTTCCCCCTCCAATCCCCATCGCCGTGTTTCTGTGTGGGTGGATTTTCCCATCTTCTGACTTTCCTCCTCCCTCCACAGGATCCCATGGCAGCTTCTTCCTCTTCTCCACTATTCAGCCCATCTTCCGACAAGCGCTTCTGGAACACTCTCAACGGCCATGTCGATTCCATCCTTGAAGGCCGCCGTCGCCGATCTGAAAACACTTCACAGGATGATGGCAGCGAAGTGGAATCCAAGAAGACCGGCAGGTCGAAGCGGATGAAGGAGGATGCTCTGCTTCTGATGAGAGGATTTGATTCCATCTCTCACACCCTCTCCGCCCTCTCCAACAACATCGACAACGCTCTTCAAGTAGGAAATTCCCCCTTTTTCTTCTTCCTTCGATTGCAAGGTCCAGTAGTGCTTCTTTTAATTCAAGATCTTTCATGGCGATTTTTTGTTTTTTCATAGGGAGCTAGATCTCTGGCTGAGCCCCCGACATTGACCGAACTACTCCAAGCAAATAATACCAAAAACTCCGAAACCCAACAGGACGACTCTCGCGAATGCTCCAAAGGGAAAGAAGAAGAGAAAGAGGGAATCACAGGTCTCAAGAGGAAGTTGGAAACAGAGGATGATCATATCTCGGTTGGGGAAGGAATCAATGATGGCGGCCCAAAGGCAAATACCAGTAATAAGTTGCAGAAAGCCAAAAACGTATGTCTATGTGTGTTTTCTTGTCATTTCCAATTGGTTTTCGATTCGGGAACGACTTTAATGAATCCTCAAAACCCATAACGTTTCCATTATGCAGCTAGCTGTTTCCATGGCTAAGAAGGCAGGAGCAATGGCCAGGGAGCTTAAATCAATAAAATCCGACATGTACTTTGTGCAAGAGAGGTGTGCTCTGCTGGAGGAGGAGAATAGAAGGCTTCGAGATGGCTTCCCTTCTGGGATTCGGCCAGAGGAAGACGACCTTGTACACACTAATTCATATTCTAGTTGCCTTTGATTGGCTTGGTTGTTGTTATCTCTGTTTGGCTGATTGATGATAATGGTGGGTGATTGATTCACAGATGAGGCTGCAAATGGAGGCGCTGCTAGCTGAGAAGTCAAGGCTGGCGAACGAGAATGCTAATCTGACCAGGGAAAACCAGTGCCTCAACCAGCTTGTGGAGTACCACCAACTCACAAATCAAGATCTCTCTGCGTCATACGAGCAACTCGTTCGAGGGATGGGGCTCGATTTCTCTTCTCCAGATTGCTCACAAGAAGACGATGACAACAGAAACAATGTAGATGATGAAGCTGGATGCCCGGCACCGCGATCTAACATCTTGGACGTGTCTACATCCCTTGACAAGTACTTCGAAGAAGAACAGTAACAGTATAAACATTGAACCATTAGTGCTCTATCTATCACAGAGCACTACACCTATCCCGTCGAATGCCATTCCATCATTCTTAAGTTACTAGCACAAGAGCAACCAGTACATTTAAATCGTCCACCATGTGTAAATTTTGGAGTGGCTGTTATGTTGTTCCAAGTGTATTATGCTATTTATGAGCTCAAAAGGAAATGAAGGGAATAACAGTGCAGAATTGTCTTGTTTGTAATTCTTCCTCACTACAAAAGGGCAAGTGAATGGTTAATCTTCAACAAAAACAGTTTTTTTAAGTGGTACACAGCATAACCTACTAATATAGGCTCTGGCATAACAAAAGATCCTCCAAGCCCCTGTTAATTTCCAAAGGCAGTCCTTTCACTATGCTCTCTAGTAGCAAAAGCATCTTCAGTGCATATCTGTAAACAGCCATTACCTACTAATATAAACAGCCACTACTACTAAACTACTGATTGGCTCTGGGATTGATTGTAACATAGGGCAATAAGATAGCAAAAGAATCCCCCCAAGCCCCCTGTTAACTTCAAAAGGCAGTCCTTTCACTGTGCTCTCGAGCAGCAGCAGCTCTTGCTAGTTAACTTCAGTGCATCTGTTAACTGCATTGATTAAATTAAGGAAGCAACGTCAATTTAGAAATTAGAGAAAGAAGTACCCAAATTCCAAGTATTGAGTATGATCGGTAAGCACTTAGTAGCACTTAGTAGTTAGTGCTACATACCCCTGCGTCTCTGCCACGAGAATATTCCAACTCCTTGATCAACCGACGGTTCTCCTCTTGTAAAACAACCACCTGAACATTCAAACCAAGAACATTGATACATCTAAAACAATTTTTTATATGCAAGCACTTGTGACAGTTGAGGGTAACATAAACCTCCTTAATGGTATCAAAGTACAAGCCTTTGTACGTCAAGTGCGCAGCAGAACTTCTCTTCTTCGCCCGCGAGGCTCTCGCAGCATCCTGATGTGCAATCTTAACAACAATCATGACTGGTGATAACCCAACTAAACTTGCAAAAAAGAAAAATGGATCCTTACTTGAGCCTGCAGTTCAGCCATGGTCTTCTTTTGTCTCTTGCAAATCTCCACAAGTCCTTCCCAACAATCCCCAATTCCATTAGTCTCGAGCACAAGATCTTCCTCCACCTCCTTGGCTCCTTCTTTCCCCACCACTGGGTGTTGATCTTCTTCCGGCACTGCCCCAGCTTCTTCTTCTTCTTCTTCTTCCTCCTCCTCCTCCACCTCTTTGGCTTCTTCCACCGTGTTGGGTTGCTGATCTTCTTCCTCATCCTCCTCGCTATCAGTAGAAGTTATCTCCTCAATAATTCGCTCCATTTCCTGAGCTTCAGTTTCAGTAGTAGTCCTAACACCGCTCTTGAGGCGGTTAGAGCGCCTAACTCCGCCAGGGGTCATCTTTACCTTCTTTTTTGAGGAAGAAGCTGACTTGTTCACCGCCTTTGGAGACGCCACACTATCCCCTGGATTAGGGATTGCAGATTGCGGGTTGGGTGATCCCGACTGAGAATGCCAAGAACATCATGTAGCCATACATCATTAGTTTGATTACACAGTTCACTCATGAATAAATGTAGGTTCGATTCCTTCACCAAATCTGCATGTGGTGCAGAAATAAAACCTTCCCCACTGGATATATACTAGAACAGAGCCATCACAAAACCCTAATCGGGAAAGAGGGAAACCATCTCATCAAACACAATCAAATAAAAGACCGTGAATAAACCTCTAGATAAAGAGAGGGTCGCAAATAGACCATCGTTTTGTACAAGAATGCCATGCATGCGAAAAGGAACCCTACAGAAAGGGAAACAGGAGAAGCCAAGTACAAAGGGGGGAAAAGGGTTGTTTGAGTTGTGATTTACCGAAGGGAGTGGCGAGGTGGCTACTTGTGCCGGCTCAGGAGTAGAAGAAGCACTGCGCTTCCTTCCCATTCTTTGTTTACTTTGCCTTGAGATGTTCTTGTGGAAATTTGCAGAAAGAGATTATTGACTACTTACCTTTAACGAAGAAGAGCAGAGGAAGGAGGAAAGCAAGGGGCTATACGTCCGGAGGACTGTTACTACTGTAGCGGGGAGACGAGAGGACACGACAGGACGAATGACTCCGCTGAGGGGTAGAAAAAGAGGCAGTAAATTGGTAATTAGTTTGACGTGACCCCCTTTAAAATCCAGAGAATGGATCACCTGTGCTGCTTACCACCGTTGATCTCTTGGTGGGTTTTCCGTCTAAACCAGTCAGTAAAATTTATACGTGTAGAAAATATTTACTAACCGAATAGTATCTGAATCGAACAAATCAAGCGTGAATGAGTGTATGGGTTGGAATTCTGAACCTATAAAGCTGGTAATCAGAGTTTGTTTCAGATAGAACCAAACCGATTCTCCATTGTCCGAACCGAACAACCGAACCATCCATTCCCCCTAGCGCAGTGACTTATAGGCTCATTTATGAAAAAGCCTGCAAAGCCCACACTTACCTCACCTAACCCTACCCACCCTTCCTCTCCCCTTCGATCTTCGGCCTTCACGAGCTTCACCATCATCGCTCAAGCATCTCTCCATCTCCTCTCTTCCCTTCCAGTCGAAATCCATAACCTCCCTCACTTCACGAGCTCAACTGTCATTCCTTCCTCCCTCTTCACTAACAACTCTCCCTTGTCTTTCATTTCTATTTGGGGAGCTCCTCATATACTCCAAATTGGAGTCTCCAAAGTGTACGAGGCGAGGCGGTAACAATCACTCAACAATCCTCCATTGTTAGTATCACCAACGAACTTGATGTACTGCGCCTTGGGCCTTGAGGAATATCACCGAGTCACTGGGTGCAAAACGGGTAAGGAAATTTGGGACAAACTCCAAATCGCACATGAAGGTACATCTCATGTAAAGATCTTTAGAATCAATAAGCTGAAATAAGAGTTCGAAACCTTTGTGATGAAGCCTGAAGAGTCTATAAAGGAGATGAACGACAGGTTTAGTACCATAGTTAATAGTTTGAGAACTCTCGAAGTCGAATATGCGAGTGCTAACTTAGTTCGTAAGATTCTGTGGGCGCTTCCTAAGAGGTGGACTCCCAAGGTGACTGCTATAGAAGAATTCAATGATCTAACCAAGTTGAGTCTAGATGAACTCATGGGATCTCTAGTCACTCACGAAGATAAGCTGACAAGAGAAGAGAGTGAAGAACCCAGAAAAGAGAAAAAGGGTATAGCCTTCAGAGTTACTGAACAAGAAGAAGAACTGGACAATCTAGAAGATATGAAAGATGATGAACTAGCCATGTTGAGTAAACATGTGGCTAAACTAATCAAGTTGCGTAAGGATAAGAAAAAGGGCGGCTTCATGAGTCGCTCAAGGGAAGCTGAGTCACACAAAGATCAATCCAAGTCCTCTCGGCAAATGTCCAGATTCAGAAAAGAAATAAACGGGAATGAGAAGAGCACTTCTCAAGCTGGGTGTTTCAACTGTGGAAGAAATGGCCACATAAAGGCTAAATGTCCACAACTGAGATGAGAAAGGGCATATGCAGCTACCTGGAGTTGCAGTGAAGATGAAGCAGAGACTGAGAAAAGGCAAGATGCACCCATGGTAGGTGGAGAAAGTGAAGATGAATGCAACTCTTCACAGGTAAGAACACTAAACTACTACTCTGAGTCTGATAGTGAAAATGATCAAATCAGTGAAACTATAAGGGATATACAGAGTGAATTAAAAAATGTGCAGATAAACCATACAAAGCTCAAGTCGGAATTTGAAAAATTAATTAACCAACATAATGAGCTAAAAGAAGAAAAGCTATGCATAGAGCTACAGTTTAAAGAAGCATTGTACAAGAATGATAAGTTAGAAGATAAAATAGCTGAATACAAGAAGAAGAGTGAAATAGTAAATAGGAGAACAGACACCCAACATATAAAAACAAGTCGCTTGGTAGCTAATCATAATCTAGATAGTGTAGAGTGTTTTTATTGTCATCAAACTGGACATTATATTGCTAATTGTAAAAGAAGAATAGCTAAGGAAGACAGGTTGAAATCCACAATGTGTTTCACGTGTCATAAACTTGGTCATAAGAGTTTTGTATGTCCAACTCCTAATGTAAAGGCTAAAACCTCTAGATTAGTGTGGTTACCAAAAGGGAAATGAACACCATTGTTGAATTAGGTCTGCTTCCAAGTGAGCATGGAAGACAGCGAGTGGATTCTGGATAGTGGATGCTCACACCACATGACTAGTAATGAAAAAACTCTTCACAAAATTGGTTAAAGGAAAGAAAGGTAAAGTTTACTTTGGTGATAACTATAGTACTGATATTCTGGGCAAAGGGGAAGTAGGAACCGCTCCAAAAATTAAAAATGTGATGCTCATAAATGAATTAAAACATAACCTCTTCTCAATAAGCCAAATGTGTGGAGAGTCAAATAGAGTAGTCTTTGAACCTAATGGATGCTATGTTGAAAATATTGAAAATCGAACAATTTTATTTTCTGGAAAAGGGAAAGGAAAACTGTTTTGCATAAACCTGAATGATAAAACTTCCTTTAATGAAATGTGTCTAGTATCAGTTGAAAAAATGATCAACTAGAGTGGCATAGGAGGTTAGGTCATGTAAGTGTAGGTTCCTTATCAAAATTGGTCAGTTTAAATCTAGTCACAGGATTTCCTAAGGTAAACTGCAAGAAGGAATTTTTCTGTGAAGCTTGTACAAAAGGAAAACAAGTCAGAACCTCTTTCAAAAGTAAACAAGTCATATCTACAACAAAGACATTTGGAACTGTTGCATTTAGATTTGTTTGGACCAAGCAATGTCATGAGCTTGGGTGGAAAATCCTATGCATTTGTGATAGTAGATGACTTCTCCAGGTTTACTTGGATTCTTTTTTTATCAAACAAAAGTGATGCTTATAAGAACTTTAAAAATCTGATCAGGCGAATTCAAAATGAAAAGGAAACTAAATTTGTTAGTATTAGAAGTGATCATGGTGGGGAGTTTGTGTCAGAAAAAAATTGAACTATTTTGTGAAAATTCTGGAATATCTCATAATTTTTCTGCCCCTAGAACACCACAGCAGAATGGTGTGGTAGAGCGTAAGAACAGGACTTTAATAGACATTGCTAGGACAATACTAAACGACTATGGTCTTGCCAAACATTTCTGGGCAGAAGCTGTAAATACAGCCTGCTACACAATAAATCGTGCATTAATAAGATCCAAACTAAATAAAACACTCTACGAATTATGGAAAGGAAGGAAACCGAACCTAGGGTATTTTCATCCATTTGGATGTAGATGCTTCATACTAAACACTAAAGATAAGCTTGAAAAGTTTGACTCTAGGTCAGAAGAATCCATTTTCCTGGGTTACTCTCAAAACAGCAAGGCATATAGGATTTACTATAAACGGACCCTCAAGATAGAGGAGTCCATCAATGAATCTTCAAGTGAGTGTGCAGAACTCATCGAAGAAGATGATGATCTTGGACTTGCACGCACGCAGTCTAGTGTTGAGGAAAACAGCAGAATAGAAAACCAAAGTACTCAAGCTAAAACTGTTCCAAGTGAAGAGGAAGATACATCAGAGGAGCAGAACATTCAGGCACCACCACACATACAGAAAAGACATCCATCATCACAGATAATTGGCAACATCAATCAATGTATGATTACTCGATCCAAATTTTCGTAAGTACAAACTGCCATTGTGTCGTTAATTGAACCAAAAATGTGCACGAAGCATTAGATGATGAATTCTGGAATGAATCAATGCATGAGGAAATGAATCAGTTTAAAAGAAACAATGTGTGGGAACTTGTTCCCAAACCTGAAAAAAAGAAGTAATAATTGGAACCAAGTGGATATATCGAAATAAATCTAACGAAGTAGGGAAAGTCACTAGGAATAAGTCTAGGTTAGTTGCTCAGGGGTATAGTCAACAAGAGGGAATAGATTTTGACGAAACTCCCCCGTGGCAAGGCTAGAAGCCATACGGCTGCTTTGTGCTTTTGCTGCCTCCAAGGGATTTAAATTGTACCAAATGGATGTAAATAGCGCTTTTCTAAATGGTGACATAAAGGAGGAAGTCTATGTATCCCAACCTCCGGGATTTGAAGACTATGAATTTCCAGATCATGTGTACAAACTTAATAAAGCACTTTATGGACTTAAACAAGCTCCTAGAGC